GGTGCACACGAAATGGGCTTTGAACAGTAGATCAGTAGAAAGGCATCATGGCACACTCACAAACTAGCATGTAAAACAACTTGTCTCACCACTAAGGACAATGACAGAGGTTTGGATACACGTCTTCTGCAAAGGATGTGTAAGCCGCACTGCCGCGCCAAGGCACCTCTTATAGTGCGGTCCTAACTCTAAACTATGAGAGTCTCCATCTTGGAGCACATGGGGCAGAAGATATCAAATTGGGTGCAGGCCTGTCAGGAGGACGCCCCACCTCCTTAAAGGTACAGAAACACACAAGGGATCCCGCACATCCCATTGGCAGCTGAGAAACCCCATGCGTCGCTGCACCAAATCGGTAAAGCAAAGCCTTTCTACTGTTCTAGTGTTCAAATCCCGTTTCGTGTGCACCTTACTGTATAACTGGTAACAAATTGTTGAGTGCGTTTGTCGTTTGTTTTGCTTTAGGCTTCTGTATCTCACGCTGGGAAGGGTTACATTAAAGGAGAACTATGGGGGTTAAGGCTTTTCCCCCGTAGTTCTCCTTAGGGTAACGGGAGAACACAAACTAGCGTCCTCCCGTCACCCTAGGCTCAGTATACCGCGAGCTGTAGCTCGTGGTATACTGAGACGCCGCAGTATACCGCAAGCTGCTGCTCGCGGTATATTGAGACGCCGCAACTGAAGCGGATCCCAACAATTATGCCGGGATCCGCCCAGCTTCGTGACTGACAGCTGGCTCTGCCTATCTAGAGTCAGAGCCAGATGTACCCGTCCCCCTCCCCCGTCCGTTCCGCCAGTCAGCGCTATCGGGGAGGGGAGAATCCAGCCCCTCCCTTTTCACGGCAGAGAGCTGTGACAGGATCGAGAGGTGAGCGAACGCCGGTATGTGTTCGCTCACCTCCCGATCTACTGAGCCGACCTGTGACAGTCTCATTGTCACAGGTCGGCTAGAACTATGAGGTGAGTGAAAAGCACTCACCTCATAGTTCCCCTTTAACTGACATCAAATGCAAATCAAAAGTCACCACTTTGATCCGCATTTAAGTGAAACAGCAAATATTTTGCTGCGATAACAGCCCGACCCGTTGGGTCATGGACTCTACTAGACCTCCGAAGGTATGCTATGGTATCTGGCACCAAGCCATCAGTAACAGATCCTTTAAGTGTGAGGTGGGGCCTCATGGATCAAACTTGTTTTTCCAGCACATCCCACAGATGCTTCATTAGAGTGAGATCTGGAACACTTCAAAATCCTGTTCAAACCATTGAACCATTTTTGCAGTGTGACAGGGCGCGTTATCCTGCTGAAAGAGGCCACTGCCATCAGGGAATACCATTTCCATGAAGGAGATACTTGGTCAACAACAATGTTTAGGTAGGTGGTGAATGTCAAAGTAACATGACTGGCAGGACCCCAAGGCTTCCCAGCAGAACCTTTCCCAAAGCATCACAATGCCTCCGCCGCTTTGCCTTCTTTCCATTGTGCATCCTGGTGCCATCTCTTCCCCAGGTAAGCAACGCACATGCACTGGGGCATCCACATTGCTCCATGGTCCAATTTTGATGCTCATGTGCCTATTGTAGGTGCTTTTGAAGGTGAACTTGGGTCAGAATGGTCACCCTGAATTGTCTGCGGCTAGGCAGCCCTATACGCAATGCACTGTGCGTTCAGAGACCTTTCCATCAGAACCGGCATTATCTTTTTCACTAATTTGAGCTACAGTAGCTCTCCAATAGGATTGGACTACATGAGCCAGCCTTTGATCCCCGTGTGCATCAAAGACCCTTGACCGCCCGTGACCCTCTCGCTGGTTCACTGGTTTTCCTTCCTTGGACCACTTTTGGTAGGCACTGACCACTGCAGCTCTTTTTACAAAGCCGCTCAGATTTTTACACTTGCCCATTTTTTCTGCTTCCATCACATCAACTAAAGGGATAAAATGTTCAATTTCTGCCTAATATATCCCACTCACTTCCAGGTGCCATTGTAACCGGATAATCAATGCTATTCACCTCTCAGTGGTCATAATGTAAGACCCGATTCACACTGGGCGACATGAAAAATCACGCGTTTTTCTGCGCGATTTCGAGATGAGCTACATTGCACATTTGGGAGGGACTTCGTCGCTGCTACATTGGGCTGTAACCAATCAAAGCGGTCTTGATGTGACATCATTCCTTCCTTCCATATTGTAAGCCAAAGCTACGGCTAGATCCTTCGGCAGCTTTGTGAATAACCCCCTTTGTGTGACTGAAACCAGGACAGAGCAGTCACTGCTCAGAGGACCCATTCTATATATTTATATATACGCAGGGCCGCTTTCTGCACTTCGGGTCGGCCGAAGATGCTGAGCATGTTTGGCCGACCCAAAGCAAGCCAATGTACGGCTGATTTTAGTCGGTGTACGGCTGAAATCAGCCGTACAAGCCTGAAGTGAATAGCCGAACAGCGTTCGGCTCACTTCGGGTCGGTTATTCACTCGGCTGCCTACGGCAGCTTTGTGAATAACCCCCAAAGTGATCCTCAGTAGCTTTGTCTGTTTGTCACATTGTGGTACAGCTATGATAAGAATGTACATTTATGTTACGGTATCCTTCAAAATGAAAAGACTCCACGCATTGCCATGATGCATATACGTAAATGGGCCCTTAAGGGCTTCAAGAAAGCTGCCTGAGGGCCTATTAAATGCTTTGCTAATGCTTGCTGCTTAGTATAGCATTTTCAAGCTCAGATTAAAAAACACCTGCATGTTTACAACCTCAGAGACATCCAATAAACTTGAGGCATTCTCTCTTGGCCAGAGTGCAAGCAGAGCTGCTTTGCTGCTAGAGGAGTAAATGCCAAGCGAAGGCAAAATTGTAGATCTCCAGAAAAATTACACAGGAGGTTGTCATATTGTATAATAACAACCTGCAAAGGGGAACCATGGCTTACACAATGTTGGTCCCAAAGTGGACACGTTCCTACAATACTACTCTTGTATACATATATTGGGACTCTCACTTTAATAAATATGCCGTTGGCTAAATTAAGTCACGGGCACAAATATTAAGTTACATAAGCAGGACCCTCTTTGTAACTAAGATGGTCCTAGACCTATAGCCCGCCCAATGTGGCCTTGTACTCAGATGACCTAATCCAATTTGTCACCTCATCACAGCAGATGTGGCAATTAGAGTGCAATTAGATTAGAATGCCTTAAAGGAGAACTATGAGATGAGTGATTTCCACTCACCTCATAGTTCTAGCCGACCTGTGACAATGAGACTGTCACAGGACGGCTCAGTAGATCGGGAGGTGAGCGAACACATACCAGGTTCGCTCACCTCTCGATCCTGTCACGGCTCTCTGCCGTGACAGGGGGAGGGGCTGGATTCCCCTCTCCCCGCTCCGATTTGCCAGCGCTGACTGGTGGAACGGACGGGGGAGGGTACAGCTGGCTCTGCCTCTAGATAGGCAGAGCCAGCTGTCACTCACGCAGCTGGGCGGATCCCTGTATACCGCGAGCTGTAGCTCGCGGATCGGCTGCGGCGTCTCAGTATACCGCGAGCTGTAGCTCGCGGTATACTGAGCTTAGGGTAACGGGAGGACGCTAGTTTGTGTCCTCCCGTTACCCTAAGGAGAACTATGGGGAAAAACACTGACCCCATAGTTCTCCTTTAACTTTTACAATGCTAATACCCATGGGGGAAGTTGTCCCTCCTCTCTTCTGGGAAGGCTTTCCACAAAATTTTGGAGTACGTTTGTGGAAATTTGTGGAAATGAACAAAGAGTCCCTCCGCACTCCTCACAACGCTCCCGGCCCGTAAAAAAAAAAAAAAGGTGCTCGCAGTGATGACCACGGATGGCGCCGTGCAGACACAGGGAAGAGGATAGGGATCACCAGCACTCAGCAATATCATTAAATATGTCCATTTTATTTGGACAAAGTCACAGTGAAAACAGCCAACATTTCGGGGCCATGCAGGGTCCCTCCGTCAGGGCAAAAAGATCACATCTTATACTTTTCATTTACACTTTTTTGTTTGCACAAACCTGTAGACTCATTGTGTGTTCCATACACACGGATATTTGTTCAAATACACCGTGAAAACGTATAGTGCTGCACTACTGATTAATTTATCCTCTTCACCTGTTGAGATTTGTGGACATTTAGCCAAAAGAGAGTTTGCGAAGTCAGGTGCTGATTTTAGACGGGAAGATCTCAACCAGCATTTCCGTTCATCCCAAAGGTTTTCAGTACGGTTGAGGTCAGGGCTTTGTGAGGTCTCTTGAGTTCCTCCATATCCAGCTCATCACGCCATGACTTGATGGATCTGACTTTGTATGCAAAGGCACAATAATGCTGGAACAAAAAAAGGCCTTGCATTAACGGTACCAATCAATCAATCAAACTCAATCTGTGATGGGCGACTCACCGCAATCCGCGCGGTATTGTGCACGATTGCCGCACGGTCACAGAACGCCTAGGTGTGCACTGGCCCTCATTGATGCAGATTTTGGCCAGAGGCTGTGCAGCACGGGGTAGGTTGCATGGTGATGATCTCTGTGGAATAGAGATGTAGGTGAGTATGACCTTAAATTAACCTTGTGCCGCGCTGCGCTAAATTAATTATACATTATACTGCCAGTGCAAAAATATACAAATCTGTCAGTGACTTGTTTTAACAACAAACTCTGCAGACACACCCTAACACAAAAAAGTTTCAATATACAGCACACAGTGAGCTATGCAATAATACGTAACTGAAAGAATACAAGCACACTGGGCTACACCAAGCCTGGAAACATCCAAGTCCAACAAGCTCTTCTTTAATTGCCCACTACGCCTCTACTCTGTCCCGAGATTGTACTAGGGACACTGTGGGGTTCATTTATTAAAGGCAAATAGGCTGTACACTTTGCATGGGGATTGTCCCCTTAGTGAATGAGGTAAAGCTCCTCCATTGTCCAATCACATGCAACAGCACATATACTGTTTTCTTACTTTCCTTGCTCATGATTGGGTATTCTTTGCAAAGTGAATTTTCACCACGTTCACTAAGCTAAAGGGAAAATCCCCTTGTAAATTGAACAGCCTATTTCAGTGGCGCCACAAGGGGGGAGCGGCCCGCACCTGGGTGACACCATTGGAGGGGTGACACCAAAATGACTTTTTGGTGTCACCCCCTCTAAAAACACGGGCACTCTGTCATGGACCGAGAGCCCGACAGTGTCAGGAGAGAGGAGGGGACCCGGCGGCATACCTCATCCCACCGGGTGAACGTCCCCTCCTCTCTCTGTCGGCGTCCATCACTAAGATGGCCACTGGCAGGCGTGAATGAGATGACCGAGCATGTTCGATGACATCGTCGCGCGCGCGCGCGCGTGGTGACATGACGTGCATGTGCAATGGTAACACTCGGCCTCGGGACGCCCCTGGACTATGGGGTCTATTCACAAAGCTGCCGAAGGATCTGGCCGTAGCTTCGGCCCCAGGACCCCTTCTGTTCAGGAGAACCGAGGGGGTGCTGTACGGGCTTTGAATAGCCGAACAGTGTTCGGCTCACTTCACTTCTGATCGCTCATTCAATCGGCTGCCCTCGGCAGCTTGGTGAATAGACCCCTATATGTCTTTGGTAAATCAATGGCTATGCATAAAAATATATTTTTAATTTTTTTTTTTTTCTAGCATTTAATTGGGCATGCTTTACAAAGTGAATTGTCACTGCAATCACTAAGCTAAATGGAAAAATATCCTTGCAAAGTGAACAGCCTATTTGCCTTTAGTAAAGCAAGCTCTATGTAGCATAGGGATATAAGGCTAGGGGAGCTGCGGGATTTTAATATCCTAACTGCGCAAAAATATATATTTTTTAAGTTTTTTCTGCATGTTGTTTGCAAATTGAATTTTTACTGCACTCACCAAGTTTAGGGAGAATCCCCTTTGCAAAGTGAACAGCTTATTTGCCTTTAGTAAATCAACCCCTATGTAACATAGGGATAGGTGACCTATAGGGATAGGGGAGCTGCATGATTTTGTAAATCATAAATGTGGAAAAATATTATTTTTGTATTTTCCATGCACGTAATTAGGTATATTTTACAATTAATTTTAGCCACATTCATTAAGTTTAGGATAATTCCCTTTGCAAAGTGAACAGCCTATTTGCCTTTAGTAAATCAACCACTATGTAACATAGGGCCATAGGGATAGGGGAGCTGCAGGATTTTTAGATCCTAAACGTGCAAAAATATATATATTTTTTATGTTTTTATGAATTTTCAACACAATCACTAAGCAAAGGGAAAATCACCTTGCAAAGTAAACAGCCTATATGTATTTAGTAAATCAACTGCTATGTAACATATGGATATAGGGATAGGGGAACTCCAGGAGTTATATATCCTAACTGAGCAAAAATATTGTTTTTTTATTTTCCGTGCACGTGATTGGGCACGATCTTTACAAAGGGAATTTTCATCACATTCACCAAGTATAGGGAAAATCCCCTTGAAAAGTGAAAGGCCTATTTGCCTTTAGTAAATCAACCATTGTGTAACACAGGACCGTGGGGATAAGTGAGCTCCAGGATTTTTATATACTATTGTTTTTTTCTTGCATGCCATTTGCAAAGTAAATTTTCACTGCAATAAAAAGTATAAGAAAAATCCCCTTGCAAAGTGAACAGCCTATTTGCCCTCAATATATCAACTCCTATGTAACGTTGGGATAGGGAAGCTCCAGGATTTATATATCCTAACTGAGCAAAAATATTGTTTTTTTTATTTTCCGTGCACATGATTGGGGATTCTTTGCAAAATCAATTTTCATCACATTCACCAAGTTAAGGGAAAATAACCTTGCAAAGTGAACAGCCTGTTTGCCTTTAGTAAATTAACTTCTGTGTAACATAAGGGCCATGGGGATAAGTAATCTCCAGGATTTTGATATACTATTGTTTTTTGTTTTCTTGCATGTTATTTGCAAAGTAAATTTTCACCGCATTCACCAAGTTTAGGGAAAATCCCCTTGTAAAGTGAACAGCCTATTTGCCTTTAATATATCAACTCCTATGTAATATTGGGATAGGGAAGCTACAGGATTTATATATCTTATTTGTGCAAAAATATTGTTTGATTTTTTTTATTTTCCGTGCACATGATTGGGCATTCTTTGCAAGATTCATTTTCACCACATTCACCACGTTAAGGGAAAATAACCTTGCAAAGTGAACAGCCAGTTTGTGTTTAGTAAATCAACCATTATGTAACATAGGACCGTGGGGATAAGTGAGCTCCAGGATTTTTATATACTATTGTTTTTTTCTTGCATGCCATTTGCAAAGTACATTTTCACAGCATTCAAAGTACATTTACACAGCCTTGCAAAGTGAACAGCCTGTTTACCTTCAATATATCAACTCCTATGTAACATTGGGATAGGGAAGCTCCAATTTTTTTTTATATCCTAACTGCACAAAAATATATGTTTTTTTTATTTCCTGTGCTCTTGATTGGGGATTCTTTGCAAAATCAATTTTCACCACATTCACCAATTTAAGGGAAAATAACCTTGCAAAGTGAACAGCCTGTTTGCCTTTAGTAAATCAACCATTATGTAACATAGGGCTATAGGGATACGTGAGCTCCAGGATTTTTATATACTATTGTTTTTTTAATTTTTTTATTGCATGCTATTTGCTAAGTGAATTTTCACCGCATTCACCAAGTTTAGGGAAAATCCCCTTTGCAAAGTGAACAGCCTGTTTGCCTTTAGTATTTCAACCCCTGTGCAGCATAGGGATAGGGAAACTCCAGGATATTTATATCCTACAAGCGCCAAGCAATTGTGATCCTAGCGTTCTAAAACGTAACCGGCTGACTGCCGCTGCTGTAAATTCACAGAAACCTCCCTACACAAGAAGCCGTGAATCCCAATCCAGGATCCATGTACAACAGACCCCTCTCCCTTTTTCCTACATCTTGTTACATAACCCCCAAAAAATAACGTCACTGGCACAAAGCGCCCATCTAATAGGATCTGAAGAGATAATGCATCTGCAGAACTTAAAGCCACCTTACTTTCCACCTGAAATAGCATGCATTACATCTTCTAATTCCCTCCGGTTGCTATAGCAACCAAACCACACTCCCAGCGCCTCCACCTCCCACTAACACGGCCTCAGGGGGGATGAGGGTCTGCGGTCAGCCACCCTCCTCCTTGCTAACAGCTCCAGTCCCATTTACAGAGCACCTCCCTCTCTCTTTTTTTCCAGAATGGATGGCTTTCCGAATGGGAAAACAGCTGCCCTCATGCAAAAATGTGAGAGCAACAGCAGCAGCATCAGCAGCAGCAACAACACATGAAGGCGATGCGGAGCCTGGACGCCTGTGATCAGAGCAGAAAGCACGGCGCGATCTAGAGCAGTAGAGTCACCCTGGACTACCTGACATCTAACAACACCATCAGGTAAGGGACATTCATCACATTTATGACAAGACTACACAACCCCTCCCCTCTATGCTTCCTGCAGGTTCTGCGTTGTTACCATAAGCACGGCTTACTGTTTTCACAAAGTACTTTCATTTTTTTTTACTGTTCATCTGTCAGATTTGTTTATCTTCTGCTTATCGCCACAACGGCGGCAATTGCAGCAGTAAGAGCGCCAATATAATGAAAGAAGATTGGTTGCCATGGGTTACCTCATCATGCCTGTTACTCCTCGTCTCATCATATAACGCAGTCGAATCGGTAAGCTTATAGGATGGACAAAGCGCCTGCGAGCAATATCCTAATCAAGCAGCTATTAGCCCTTTATCGTTCAGACGCCTCTAGATGTGATGCGATTGGCCGATTTGGGGTTACTGTAGCTTGCAAGGGGTCATCACTTTTTTATGGCTTTAAAGAAGAAGCCCCTAGAATTTGGAACCAAATTATGTGCGGTGTCATGTTAACTGTTAATAGCCCCCCACCCCCCCCCCCACCAATAGATGCTTATTGATTAATCAATACCAGGCTGCTGGTTGTCAATTGCTAAGTGAGTGATGAATGAGGCCTGCTGGCGACCTCTCAAACACCCAACACGCAGGACGGGGACTGGATACTGAGTACATTATACGTTGGTGTCCGCTGATAAATCCCCCAACTGGAGCAGCGTTAAGCCCACCACACGCATGTAGAAATGATCTCACTGTACAACGGTTTGTGTTGCTGTTATATAATAATCTCCCATGGGCGGAGCACAGAGGGTTGTGTTGGCATTTTTGGGGCCACATCATTGGGACGCGGTAGGGTTGCCACCTGTCTGGGATTCACCTGGACAGTCTGGGCAGGAGCAACCACGGGGTCCTGGTGTTCTAACTCGAGTGCATGGAGGAGGCACGGGACACGGAGGGACGCTGGAACTCGGGGAGCAAGGTGTCTGAAACACAGGGCGAGGATAAGCCTTGATGGGTACAGGGGTTCTGTTTCAGGCAGATGTGTTGTTTGCTATCTCTCTCTCTCTCCTGACTGTCTCTCCTCTCTCTCCTGACTGTCTCTCCTCTCTCTCCTGACTGTCTCTCCTCTCTCTCCTGGCTGTCT